AACATCGCTAGGAAGCTTTTTCAATAGTTTAAATATTCAAAAGTTGAATTCAGGTAATTGTTTTTAGTTTTTTCTTGGGGAAGTAAAACTTTTGTTGCAAGCATGGATAACACCTCCACCTGGAGAGATTAATTGTCATCCATAAGTAGGTAAATAAATATGATTGCTGGTCTGTTGTTTAGTGCACCTATTATATTCTTGTTCAGACAATTTGTTCAGACATTAAGAGCTGCTGCATATACTCTCTATTTAAAGGTAAGCTCTTCTGGGCCTGGTGATGGGGCTGAAGTGGGCTGCTATTTTCAGGTCATATTGGCTCCCATGGCTCTGGCCCTGTCTGTCACAGCACATTTTCAACTAGTTTTTCATCTCTTGATCATGTTAGTAGCGAAAATACGACATCCATTGTGTGCATATAGATATATGAACTAAAAGACATTATTATATAAGAATATTTTATATGCGATGCTATTTCACATACCAATGATGGTATTCAATATTTACAAAATCAGAACCAACTTTTTTTGTTATATTTCATACACGGCCGCACGGGCATGAAAGTCTCACGCACGAGCATACATTAACATTCTTGAGAAGGCAGGACATGGTTTGCTCGCAGTCCTTTCGTATATCTACGTCTAACTTTGCAACTTTGTACTCAGGGACATTCAAACCCATGAATTGCTGGCCGAGTTGCATTTGCTTGATACAAACTCGACCAAAATTCAACTAATGAAAGCACTACGCCACTCTCAGTCGCGCGCTCGAGAAGCTGAAAAGGAAGCAAGATGTGCCCTTAGAGATAACGATCATGTGATCAAGCTCGTATTCAGGCAGGCTTCTCTCCTGTTTGCCTATAAACAGTGGCTCCGATTGCTGCAACTTGAGAACATGTACCTGCAGTTCATGAACAGCACAGGTCGAGAGTCTGTCTCCATCATCTTTCCTATCGTATTACCTCAAACGCAAAGCACTGGGCGAACACAGGAAAGCCGGCGCAAGTCTTCCAGTAAAAAAAGGTCCAAAGGCTCTTGTCCAGGATGTGAGTTTAAGAAATATGGTGTTGTTTTTGCATTAGGGTTGGGGCTTGCTGGTGCAGGGTTTTTTCTGGGTTGGTCAGTCGGCTGG